ACCCTGTATATGGTGAGAGTATTCTCCATCGTGTGCTTACTAATCGCAGATTTAGAGTGTTTGACGCAGTTGTGTTTGAATATGACGAGACGACGTGACTGTTACCGAACAGCGTGGTTGAAAAAGATACTGTTAAGATACTATTTCCTCTATTATATACCTATCTAACGCAGACACAAGAATGTTTGAGATACCGAATGAAAGTCCCTGATGGATTCTCAACAACATAGTCCTCCCACCAGTACAAAAATGAACATTCATTTCAAGTACCCAACTGTTTGTGTGTGAATTGTTCTCCAACTAGCAAAACCGGTAAACAAACTACCCGAAGCACTCACCAGTGTGAACGAGATGGTGTTTCTGTAGATGGGCCAGTTGGGTGAAGCTCTTGGTGCAGACGTTGCACTTGAACGGTCTCTCGCCCGAGTGCGTCCTCAGGTGGACCTTGAGGTTCGAGAGCTGGCCGAAGGTCTTGCAGCAGACGTTGCACTCGTAGTGCATCTTGCCGTCCTTCTTCTTGAGGGGGTAGGGCAACGACCTGTAGCCCCTGGAGCCCTGGGAGTTGGGGCTCAGGGAGCCGCTCTGCGAGCAGCCGTGGTCGTCCGGCGACAGGGAACTCGCGGGCGAGTATCGGTTCAGTGACGAGGGGTTCGCGTGGATGGTCAGTCCCGGATGGTGACCCAGGTGGAGATTGTGCGTGCCAGCGATCAACGCTTGGTTGGTGTCGATCTGCATGGTGGAGGAGGTGGGCAGCTGGTGGCTGCTGGTTGCGGCCTCCAGCCTCCTGCCGTCCGGCCTCTCGTAGACGACGTTGCCACTGGGTGTCGGCGAGTAGGCGGTGCAGTTGATGGTCAAGGGTGCCACGTTGTGGTGCAGCGAGCCGTTTTGATGGTAGATGCCGTAAGGGTAGGACGAGGGCGATTGGATGGGCGAGATGGGCGAGACGCTCTGGTTGCTGCTCACCGTTGAGCCCGGGTACACCTGGCTGGATTCAATCTGACAACCGCCCGAGCTGGAGTAGAGGATCGTGGGGGTGGACGGTCCCGTGGGGTTCGCGGATGGCGACGGGCTCTTGGTCTTCCTTTTAGCGGGGCAGCTCGTCGTGGAGGAATGGAGGTTGCTGGTGGACGTCAGTATCGTGCTGGAGGAGAGGACGTTCGCGGCGGTGTGGTGGTTGCTCGCGTTGCTGGACGAATGGATGCTACCGGGATGGGACTGGAGGACGTTGGGCCCTGTGCTGGAGTGGAGGTTCCCCGTGCTCGAGTGGAGGCTCCCCGTGCTGGAGTGCAGGTTGCTGGTGGGGCTCTGCATGGGGAGGGCGCTGTTCCCGCTGGTAGAATTGACGCATGCGTCCGCTTGCATCGGTAGGTTCGAGCTGGAGTCGGGGCTGCAGGGGAGGATGTTTCCGTAGCGATGGGACTTCTTGTAAGAATACGCCATCTCCGTGGGGCTGGATGGCGGTGGGGTGACGGAGTCCAGATGGGTCTGGTGATGGATCTGGTGGTGCTGGTGGTGTTGCTGGACGCCGTTGTGGTGGTGGTTGTGGCTGTTGTTGTTGTTGTTGTCGGTGCTGCTGCGGAGGAGGATGTTCTCGAGAATGGAACTGCTGGGGCTGGTTAGGTAGGCTGGCCTCCCGGAAACGGGCATGTTGCCCTTCGCTTCGGGCTCGTAGAACGGTTTCGGGGCCTTCTCTATCTCGTCCTCGTTGACGGTGGACAGAACGGAGTTTTTCTGGAGGATCACGGGGGACATGGGCTTCTGAAGCTCCGGTGTCACCGCTCTGCTCGAGAGCTCCTGGTCCTTGTCCTTTCCGTTCCCCTCTAGGCTCTTCGCCGCCTGGAAGTTCCCGTAAGTCTTCGTGATCTTGATCTTCACCTTCCTGTACTCGTTCTTCGCCGCGGCGTTGTCCTGCTTGAGCACCTCGTTGGCGCACACGGACGTCTTCGCGTTCTTGCTGAAGTCCAGCACGTAGTTGTTCTCCGAGTCGGACTCGCTGCTCTCCTCGGGGGGGCGTGAGGATCTCGTCGTGGTAGTTGGAGTGGTAGCCCTCGTCCGATCTGACGGAGCCGTCGGTAGGGGTCATCTGCGAGCGTCGCTCGTAGATCGACGAGTCCTTCAGGGGCGACACCACGTCCACGCTCGGGGGGATGATCTCGGTTGGTAACGCCGATTGTTGTACTTGTTGTCCTGGTAAGACGAGGCGTAAGGTTAGCTTTTGGAAGATAGATAGAGAGAGGAAGATAGAGGGAGGGAGGACACGGTACTCACGTATTCTTTGAAGCATCAGTTCGCCCGTTAGGGGGTAATTGAGCCTTTCCGCGAACTCTCGGCAGTACCACACCATAAGTTCTTGGTTCGGTAGTATCGGCTTGATTGTGTAAAAATAAATGTTCATCTGGAAAGGAAGAACACGTTTAGGGTCAGGTGCTCCGAACAAGAAGATGTTTTGAGAGAGTTATATCGACGCACCTTATACTGGCATGCTATTAGGTTCTGCGATTCGGACGAATAAGCCGGGTTTACGTAACGCATCCAATTCGATTTCTGCACGTCGTAACCGTCGATGTAGTAGAACAGCTCGTTGTTCTTGTACACCTGTCGGAACAGAAACGTAAAAATCGGTTGCGGACGTTGTGGCGTCGTTGGTCCCATTGGTTCTAGCAGTGTATAAATCGTCAGGTAATTGTTAGGGAGGCCTAGCAGTCTGGGTGTGTCAGGACTTTAGGTTCTATAGAAGTTTAATTGGTCAACTCTCTGGGTTCTAGAAATCTTCTAAAGTTCTTGACTCTCTAAATTCTAGAAGTCTAAGTTCTCAGCTCTCTAGGTTCTACAAGTCTAAGTTCTCAGCTCTCTAGGTTCTACAAGTCTAAGTTCTTAGCTCTCTAGATTCTAGAAACCTTACTTCTTAGCTCTCTAGGTTCTAGATACCCAAGTTCTGAGCTCTCTAAGTTCTACAAGTCTAAGTTCTTAGCTCTCTAAATTCTAGAATCCTTACTTCTTAGCTCTCTAAATTCTAAAAGTCTAAGTTCTAACCTCTCTAGACTTTAAAAGCCCAAGTTCTCATCTCTCTAGATCCTAAAACCCTAAATGGTAAGCGTCTGATCTATCTTCACTCCAGAGTTCAAAGTGACCACAATCTGATCTCCCGCAGGTGTTAGCAGCATAACTAACCCCTTTCTGCTCAAGAAACTCCAATTTTCGTCTCAAATAATGAGAAATCTGGTGGACACTGTTCGAACCATCCGGGAAGACAAAATGCTAAGTCGTGGACGTTCGAGGCAGTCGACCTGGAGGCTAGCCAGGAAATATCGGCGATTTAATAGGGAGGATCGAGAGAGAACCCAAGTTCGCTATCGTAACTCATCAATTCGTTACGAGGCATCAATGGCTTCGCGGGTTTCGCTTTAAGGCTCGCTAGATCGGTTGAAACCAGTTTCTGGTCTTTGCTGGCTTCTCCCCCTTATCCTTCCTTTTTTCTCCGTTGCGTCTTTAGATATTTCCTTTTTTTTCCTCCTCTCGTCATACGCGAGAGAGATAACCGTGGCTCGCGGAATAACTGCCGCGAACGGTCCCCGAACGGCCGCCGATGAGCGATTCTTACCCTCCAGAAGTACTTCCGGTTCGCGTCGGCTGGTACAGAATCCTTGGTGTACACTTGGCCCACCAGAGGGCCAAATCTCGTCCCTTTGGGGATGTAGCTCGTGCTCCATACTCCCAAAGCCTGCAGGAAGCCAAACGACTGTCGATTAGGCTCGTCTTACAAATTTTCATGCGGTGCGAAAGCTTAGTATTCGTTCGACAGTTCAGTATTCGAATAGCAGTCGAAATTCGATATTCGAAAACGCCCAGCCCTGCTCAGTAGCGCTACTACAGTAAAGATTGGATAAGTGCAAGACAGGATCGATTGGATAAATGCAAGATGACTATCCCCACCACTGGGGAGGTTCACAGTATTGTAAATATATATATGTATTAACAAATGGATTGTTGACAGTAAAGACTAGATAAGTGCAAGATGACTAACCCCGTCACTAACCAATTGACACGTTTCTGCCGATCGCTTTTTCCCCCGGAACTCTTTCTCTTTCACTCTTTGTCCTTTTCTACGTTCGACTCGAGTCAAGTGTAAACACAGAATAGAAGCCTCGACATTTATCCCGTCTTTACTGTATTTGGTACGAAACGATACGAGAAGGGTTTATCGCGAGAAAATTATTTAAAATATTGCGCAGTCGAGCGGATGGGACGAAGGAGAACCGTCTCCCTTCTATTTTGAACATCGAGCTTCAACGAAGCAGAGGTTCGGTCCATAAAGCGTTTTTGTCGATTCATTTGGCGTTCCATTGCGCCCCATATTAAGCAGTTCTGTCCGGCAGAATGTTTCCGAGCGTTTCGTCTACTCCAGCAATGAAAGAACCTCGCTCGTATTCGCAGGGAAACGTTCAAGATCGTTCGACACCGATTCGAAACGAGCTGTTCGTAGTCGCGCTGGATGAAAAGTTATCGGAAACCGTTTCGTATGCATATGCATCTCGCTCGATCTCGGGCGATCTCTTTACTCTAATTTGTTTCCGATCGAGAAACTTCTCGACCCCAATTTTGTCAGTGCTCCTCTGCGAGGGAGGAACGCGAATTTAAGCAACCCAACGATCTTTTTCCGTCTATGTGTCTTTACCGTAATCATTTTTAGAATTTCCCGTATTCTTCGTTATACTCGAAAGTAAGCTAAAAATAAAATCGAGGTTCGTTTAAATTTGGCTACGTCGGTCGTGGCGCGACCAAGGCTATCGCTCTCGATTCTCGTCGTCGATGAAAGTGTAACGATTTACTTCAGCTCTAGGTCACGCTCGCTAAATTGATTAGCTTCGTTCCTCTATCGAGCTCTATTCGACGGAAATCCTTCGTACGCGATTGTTCACTTCGACCCGTATCGAACCGAAACGTTTCACCGTGATTTCCTACTCGAGGTCCTTTCAAAGTACCCCCATACAGGGTGTTAAAAAATCCATTTATATGGTACAGTACTACTCGCGAGCTTGCAACGAATGAATAATGTAAATTGGTAAAGGTACATTTCGCGGAATGTGGTTCACGGTGATTTTCACGACCGTGACAAGGAGCTCGAGGGGGATTTTCCAAGGCTGAGGCGACTCGGGGTGCAAGTTTTCATGATTCTAGCGACTCTCACCAAGGAGGTCTCGAGAAATGATTCTTTGGCGGAGGAACGTACATCGTTGAGGGCCTGAGAGGGCTTGAGGACCAAATTTCTCGGCAGGGACGCTTCCGCGCGATTGGTGTCGCCCGACGACGCCGCCACATCCGGTACCAAATACACGGCATGCTGCTCGAATTCCTCTTCCCTCAAGGTCGCGTGATCCCACTCGCTGGCCTCCATCCTTCACTGAACAGAAAAATTCCAAGAAACATTAGGTTAATATTCTTTTCGTTTTTATTTATTTTTGTTAGTTTTCAGAGGGATCGAGATTTATTTTCTCGCGGTAGACACGAATGTCAACGTGGATAAATAAATGTCTCTTAGGCCACTGTTGACATCTCGCTCTCGAGATAAGAATTTTCGCTCAAGGATCTTCGTACAGGCTGTCTCCGAATTAGTGTAAGAAACGTAAATGGGTTGATAGCTGGGATGCTTCTGAACCACAATTTCTTTGCGAAAATGCACAATACATGAAATTGTTTTTATTCAGAAGCTTCTTACTAATATAATTAATTGTGCACCTCTTCTTGGACTTGTGTCCTTTCACATTCCTCCCGGGACCATTAGGTCGTCATATCTATTTCATCAATATGTTTCCTCGTCTAGATACTGTCACCTCAATACTGTTGTCCGTGCCTGCGCTACAGTTAATTGCTTTAGTTCGGACAGCGATATGTTTATTGACTCTAACGACTCTAGTAAACATAGGCTACATAACCTTTTTATCGGTAATTCTGCTATTCACCGACGATAACTTTGTTATGATTGTTTGTTTGTTTGTAAATTTTTGTTTGTCTTTACATCTGTCAACCGTGATTGTTTATAATTGCTACACTGTATTAATTTCATAATGGGCTATGCCCGTATATATTGAAATAAATAAATAAATAAATAAAATATTGGTCGATGGTATTTCGTTAATAATTCAACAACGAAACTATGGTTCAGAATCGTCTCAGCTACCCTCCATTTTTGGTTCTTACACTAATTCCGGGATATTCTGCATATTTGACTTCCTAGCAAAAATAATGCTTGGATTTCGTATTAAATTAATCAGGAATTAGAAATCTCCATGCCTTTGGATTTAACCCTTTGATCTACGATGTACTATAGGATCGTGAATACTATAATCGGCTATAAAATTCCTTGGGCCCTTTCGTACGAAATTCTCTACTACGAGTCTCTACTCACGAGCCACACTTTGTTACAGGTTAAAGGGTTAAATACCATTCCCAAAGATTTAATATTCATCTAGACACCGTTACCCGCGAGTTGTTTACCAAATCCTTAGCGCACGTACAAGCACCGTTATTTTCGAGTTCCGAGAGCTACTAAGTTCTACTAACTTCGCCACGCCTTCCTTTCGATTAATTTCGTGATCGGGTGACGCGTATCTCGAGTACTGTTCCTCGAATCCGCGTCATAATTTCCCTCGGGATCGCTCGTCTATAAATTTCGAAACCGCCGATTATCATACTTTAACGTAACATTACATCGTGATAGTTCGTGCAGGTCTAACCCCGCGACGCGAGGCGCATTCCAATCGTCGTTTTGTACGTAATAAATAATCGCGTTGCAGGCACTTATCGAGGGTAACAGCGTACGATAATGTAACCGCGAGCGCACGCAGAATTTTCGAGCCAACTTCGGTAATGGGGGACTTTTCCGACGAAGAAACGCGGAAATTGCGGTATTATTAGAATCGGGATGGAAGTACCGATGCATAATAACGCTCGACAACGCGGGACGTTATAAATATAGACGCGATTCTCGTGAATCGATACGATCAATAGCTCCTGAGAGGCGTCAACTTCGAAAACTATGAAGAAGGGTCGCTCGATCGCGTTTAACGTACCCCCCCCCCTCCCCGTATATATTTTAGGGGTACAAATGGTAGGAATAAATTTCGTGTTAGGTTGAAACAAAGATGACTGTCGATTCATGACTAGATTGCCGATCTTTATGGAAGATAAAATTAAACCTAACTACGAATTTATTTTATTGTAAATAGTATAACGTGAACTTTACTTTCAATCTTTTTTATATTCTTACATATTTGTTGCATTTTGTAGGTTCGTGCACATTCAAATTTCCTATAAATGCATCAAGATCCGCAGTCGTGACTGTGTTGTCCTGCAGGTCATTATCACTGTATATACAGTCAGTTCCATAAGTATTAGTACCCTCAATATCTATCGAAATTATTCTCGTAAATTAAACGATAGACAGGCTTTATACGTATATATATTTACAATAAAAATTTATTTGGAAACATCGAAATTTGACATTTAATTCAGACTATTTAATTTAGGGACTGACTGTATATTAAACAATCTGTCCGCAAATATGAACGAACGAAATTTGCATTCGCTCTACAGTAATGTCTCGTTAGACGCACAAGCTCGGGACTGACCTTGTGCAGTTATCATAGAGTTCGTATATTCTCCGACGATATATTTACTTGCAACAACTTATTATGTAGAACACTAACTAAAAAAAGATGAACGGTAAATATCGTCCGAATTATATCGCGTTTGGTATCGTTTTAACGACAAAAAAGTTGATAATAAAAATGTTTCATCGTTGCATTACATTGTTTCACCGACATCCCTTGTCCACGTTCGACGATCGTCTGCAAACATCAAAGAATATACGAAACTCGACGATCGAACTCCTGCCCTCAGGGGCTGTAGCTATGTTTGATTGTAGCTACAGTACGGGCTTAGCAACCCCGAGGTACCCGAGCTAAACGGGGGGGCAGTGGGCAGTATTAAAACAATGCAGGAGTCACGTAAGACGATGATAAGAAAAATGGAAATAAGCTAGTAATAAATAAGCAGTCGTGCAATAATTTTGTATAATAAGTTACGCACTTTAAATAAATGAATGAATGAATGATCGAACTCATTGGCCTCTCAAGAGGTATACCCGCCAGAGGTGGAGCTGGATAAGTCTGTGCACTTATCCTGGACAAAGATGTGCGTCTGACGAGATATTACTGTATGCTGAAATAAAATCCTCGTAACAGTCATATCGTACGGTAATATAACAGATATCGTGTGTGTCGTGATGCAGTGGATGGCAGTGAAAGTACCATAAGTGGCGGTTGTATTCGCCCAAGTACCTAAACACTTTCAGACTGGGAAGACGAATCGTCGAACATGGAACAAGAAAACGATCGAGCCCCGACACTTCAAGATGGAATCAGCGTCGAAGACTGAACTTGCTCGAAATTGTCTTAAAGCAGGAACGACGGAACCGGGAGATTCGTTTCCAGCAAAAAATATCGTGTTCCCTCCGTCGCTGACAAATGAAACTCATTATGCAAATGAGACACCGCACGGCTAAACATTGCACCGTGTAACACGGTTATAACGTCTACTGAGCTACGTCTACTTAGCTACGTCTACTCAACTGCTCCAGAAGTTTCCTAACTAAGAAAATCTCCGACAGAAAGGATAACGCGTCACTCGAATCCGAGGACTGCGCAAAGAACACGATGAAGCTATACTACGATGCAAAGGTAGTCCAAACGGAACCAAAACGGAACATGGTCGCCAATGAACGCGAAATCTATGCCTAATTTAAGATACAGTCAGTCCCATAATTCGTACCCCTCTATCTCCGTTGAACACATTAACCGTTTGCACTTGAGAGGTGACTCTCACCATTAGGTTTCACGCAGTAAATCTACAATACCTAACGTGTCTTTAGGTTTAATTTCTTTAGAGATTGAAGTGTCAATAAAATGATTGTCGGCGAGGTAAAGGTGATCTTATTCTCAAATCTATTAGATTGTCCTAAAAGTTTCTTTCGTGAATTGCATTCAATTATTTCCTGTGGCAGTGTTTATATAAATAGACAATCCAATTTCTTAGGCATTGTTGCTGTAACAGTAACGGAGCGAAATGAATTGTACACAATTTTTTAATGTAACGTAAAACATAAAATATCGTGTATGAATTAATTATTAATAAAACGAAAGAAACTTTTGGGGCAATCTAATAGATAGCTTAGAATTCATGGCAATAGAATGCTAAGAAACATCTCGAGTTGCTGGCAGATACCAGAAAAAATGGCCTCGAGTGCAAAGGGTTAATTAGGGTTGTGCATCAATAAGCAGGCAGCTCCATTTTTTCAAATTCTTCTCCTTATTTCATCACAAAACGAAAGGAACTTTTCGAATTCGTGATTATGTTCTTAACCTCAAAACCATAAAAAAAATGGAGTTACCTCCTTATCGCAGACCACCCCCTCATTTGTCTAAATTAAATGGTGAGCTCGATACTTCCAAACAAACATTTCATTATGAATATGTACACGAATAAACTTCAGAAAGTATATATTTATAATGATAGATTGACATCGAAGCATCGAACCTATCATTTAATTTGGACAAATTTCTTCGATGAACATAGAGGGTACGAGTACTGACTGAGTGCAAGTCCAACCCTAAATAGTTGTACAGGTGAAATTGCAGGTGCAACACGAACCTGCGAATCTTTCAAAGCACGATTCACCAAAAGATGGCGATTTTTTTTTTTTTAACGAAAATAAATATCCACCGATGGGGCGAACGACCGTGGAATTTTCATCGTACCCGATCATTCGTGTTTTCCACGCGTGCGGTACCGCGAAAAACGAATTTTTTCTGGCTTCTGAATCAACGATGGCGCAACACTTTAACACCGCGAAAGTGAAACCCGTCCACGCATTGATCGACTGCAGGGGCGAGTGGCGGGAGGGGGACGGGGCATAAACTACGAAGTCCGCCGCCCCCTCACACCCTTCTACCCCCCTACCGCCCCCGTCGACGCGACCGCCCAGCCAGCGGGGGTTTTCGCTACTCGTTGAATTTCCATTTCCGTGGAAATCGCGCACTACCACCACCGCCTATCCCATCCCCCTCTTTCACCCCATCCCCCCCCCCCCCGTTCACTATTCGTTAACTTTCCGCGTAACTTTTTGCTTTCCCTCAGCCACCCCCGTCGTTCCAACCCCTTCGATTCAGAGGATTTTTCTACACCCTCGCGTTTCATCGGTTCATCGGCGATGTTAGTCGTTCCCCCTCGCTTCATTCATGTTGTTCTCGTACGTAGGGGGCGGGATGAGTGGGTGGGTGTCTCTTTGTTTTCATTTTCTTAAGGGGACGGAAAACGTGTCTGTGATTCTTTTGAGGAAATTCGTCGTGTTGTCTTTGTTCTTTATTTTTCGAGCGTTAGCCACTGTCATCGAATCGAAGCATTCGAGGCTTTCACATTTGGGGATTTTAGACGACGATGCCTTTTTCATTTCGAACGGTTTATATTTTTAATTTTCGGTTTCGATCGTCCTAGATAGGTATTAACCCTTTGCGGTCGTATGTCTACTCTCAGCCACCAAAGCCTTTTTACGGTTCCGATCGTACGTCTGCTTTCAGCCACTACAACAAGAAACTATCTGTATTCATTCCGACCAGTGCGACACCCGTGACCAACTTTAATACGTCCGAAAAGGGTTAAATTGTGATTGTACGGGACTGAGAAAATTCTAAATGAATTTCCAGCAGAAATCCTCGATATCTCCATATTTCTCCACGTATTTCTTTTCATTTAACGCGAGTATTCCGTAAACCCTGAGACCAACCGACGAACCTAACCCCAATAATTTAGAGAGCCATATTCGAAGCCAAGCCACGGAACGAAGTCATGGGAATGCTGGTGGTGAATGATTAGGGGAGTTGGAAGTCAGAACGCGCAGGGCATTGCGCTAACTTTTGGTGAATGACCGTTGCACTCGGCAGTGTGCTGGGCCGAGGCTCTCGACAAAATCGATGCTCGTAAAGGGCATGTGCAATGTTTCCCTCGCAGCGTTTCATTTTCACTCGCAAAATCGTGTCCCGGGGAATTCCATTCAACTTGAATTCCGCTCGGCCAAAACTTACTGGAAAAGTAGTATTCTATTCTCGAACGTTCGCGAGACACTTTCGATCTTGCGATGAAAGAAGTTGCCGGGTATTATTTAATTATTGTTTCGATGCACGCTGCTCGGAAATTGATTTATGTACGAATGTGTCTTCCGATCGTGGAATTATTGAGAAACTCGAAGGTCCGGTTTCCCGATATAAATGCACGTAGAGCCATTAATCTCTAAACGTACAGTAATGCATGATGAATAAACTCAGCTTTTCGCCATTTATTCGACCGATTAAATCTTCATCTACTCATTGTGTAATATTTCTGTTCACGTTTCGAATTTTATCGAGTGTTCCAGTGTGTAACAGATGAAAATGTGTTACTTGCATCATTAATTCGTCATTCAAGACGATTATTCAACCGTGGATTAGTCGAATACATTTCCTACTCTTCCAGAGTGGCGTATTATCTCCCCAATTTAAATTCAATATATCCCAGACAAAAAGGTATGTTTACCTTTAATCCATTATTCGAAGCTTTTATTCAACCGCGAATAATTACTCAAATAAATTTCCTACTCTTCCAAAGTGGCGTACTATCTACCCAATTAAAATTCAAATTTAAATTCAATATATCCCAGACAAAAGTTGTCCATGTTTACCTTTAATCCATTATCCGAAGCGTTTATTCGACCGAGTATTTACTCGAATAAGTTTTCTCTCATCCAACACGAGGCACCTCGCAATTAAAATTTCAATTTCAACTCGCTAGATGAAAATTTATCTTTCCTTTCTCGTTCCGAGACGTTCGCCCAACCGAATAATTCCTCGAATGACTTTCCTTGAAACATCGGAGTTCGAATTCGATATAAAACGAGCGAAACAGCGTCCGTCATTCCAAAGTGTCGTTCGAGCAAGAAAATTTCGCCCATGTTCGCGCAGTACTCACGCCTTTTGGTGCATCGGTTCGCGCGACCAGCTCCTTCGAGTCCGCGTTGCGGTTGGTCACGGTGCTGGTGGCCCGGAGGGTTGATTTTCGTTGCGGATAAAAAATGAAACGGTCACCCCTCGTTTCCCCTTCTACGTGATCCTGTGATTTCTCAGGGAGATCGGCATCCCGCCGAGTCTGTGGACACCCGGGACCCACGGCCGGCCTCGCGTTGAGGGACGTAACGCGCCGGTGTTGCTCAACATTTAATTAACCGAATTGCACCACCCCCGTTTCACGACGAGGCGCAAAAATTCGTCGAGCGTCGATAAGGCCGATCGCTGCCGGCTCCCCCACGCAGAACCGGTCCTCTCACCACCTATTCACGACGCTTCTATCGATTATCAGGACATCGAGAAAACGAAATTGGTTGGAACCTGGCGCTGCCGTTGCACCCGGATCAACCGTTGGACCACTCTCTCCCTTCTCGCTGTTTATCAACAACAATCCCTCCGAGTAGCACCTCGCGGTCCCAGACCCCTTCGATCCGCACCACCCCCGCGCTCCCCCACCTCCTACACGATTAACCAGAATCGTTGATATTCGTCGTGAACTATCCGTGGATCCACACGTAACTCTCTCTTTCTCTCTGAATTCCTCACGGAAACGCACACGCGAGCCACTTCCGACGCACTTCACCTCCTTCGGTCTAACCACCCTCTCCACCCACCCCCGTTTTTACTTTCCCAGGTGTAACAACCGGCGGGTACCGGACGCACGAAACACCGTCGCGGACCGTTTGCGAACGATCGGGACGTATCCTCGTCGAGGACGAGCCTCTCTTCGTGCCACCCTTATCCCTCGATCACTGGGGATCGCGGTTTGCCGATCGTTCGACGAACCGCTCGAAGCACACTTAACGACCGTTCGTTTCCCGCTGACCGTAATCCGAAAAATGACACCTGACGCGAAGAGAGGGCGGCTCGGACACGAGGGTCCCGCGATTTCGCGTTTTCGCGACCCGTTTTTGTTGTTTTTTTTTTTTTCGAAGGTGGCCTCCGCCTTCGGGGTCTACTTCGGATGGCACACGCAGAGAGCGGTGTGTGGAACTCGGGTAGACCTGACCTAGCCCAACGCGAGTCGGCTTGGCTCGTCCTCCCCCTGCGTCGGTATTGGTCGCTGGCTATCCCTCTCTCTCTCCGTCCTGCTTCCCTTTCTAACGAACGCGGACGCGGTGGTGTGCCAGCAAAGCTGCCAGACCAGAGCAGAGGTGGTGCATTTCTCTGCGCTGCGCTTTCGATCGACCCGTTGCCAGAGGTTCCCTTCCCTCAGCCCCTCTACAGGCCCCCTGGCCTCTCTCCCTCGCCCTCCGAGAGCCGTCTCTCTTCATCCATCGGCCTGTCAGCTGGCCCTCCCTCTTCGACCAACGCGTCTCTCTTCGTCCGTCCCCTACCACCGCGTAACGTCTCGTCCTTGTTCATCTACAACGGGCATCCTCGTCCTTCCCACCCCTTCGCGGCAGCTCTCGTGCATTTCCCTCTTTCGTCCTCCTCGCTCTCGTTGCCTGCTTCGCCGCCTCTCCCTCGGCCACGCTCTCGTTTACCCCTTTCAAACCCTCTTGCTACTCCACCGCGTGCAACTGTGGCCCCCTCTCTTTCCCTCACACTTCGTATATATGTATATTTATTTATATATATATGACTATATATATTTTTTATATTTTTTATTTTATTGTCTTTTCATCATTTCCGTTTGTGCGGTTCGTTGTGTAGTCACATTTTCAATTTTTAAGCATCGAAGTATCAGGGCGAGTCGGTTTTTTGAGAATTCGCGGTAGCGTGATTGATTGATAAAAATTGGGAAGGAAGTAGATATTCGTGGATGGTGTTCTGCGAGGGGACTTCGATGTTTCATGCATCTTCTGAGAATTGTCTTGGTTTCGACCAGCTGATGAGAAATCGTAAGACGGAAGTGGAAAGTTAATATTTGTTCGGGGGGAGGGGGGTATTTAAATAGCGCACCGGGAATTGTGGATACTTTTCTGATTGAATGTTGATACTTGAAGAGTAGTGTTTGGGTAATTGTGTTTGAGTAGCGGTATTCGAACGGTGGTATTCAAACGGTAACATGCAGGCTATGGTGTTCGAATAGCGGTATTCAAACGATAATATCCAAACTGTAATGTTCGAGAAGAGGTATTTGATTTATGATATCCGAACAATGGTATTCGAATAGGGGTATTCAAACGGTAACATTCAATCTATGATGTTCGAATAGGGGTACTCAAATCCTAATACCCAACCTATAATATTCGTAAAGAGTTATTGGAATTATGATATTCGAACAGTGATATTCCAAAAGAGGTGTTCGAATAGTGATACTCGAGTAACGATACTCTACAAATAATGTATTTCGAGAAGGGTTCAAACGGAAAGTAAAAAGTACAAAGGTCCCGTGGAATCGTTCGTGGGTACACACGAACGAGCGAATAAAAATAGCGAGCGATAAAAAAAATGTTACACAAAAAAAAAAGTGTGAAAGCACATCGAGTGGGGGTTGTCGGTTAAAAGTGCAAGTAGCCAATAAGGTAGCGCGCTTAATTATCGTCGGGATCTTGATTCCTAGGGTGAATTCGAATGGGTTTCGCAAGACGTCTCGGTTTTGGCGCGGGGGGGAAGAGGGGAGGGGGGGGGGGGTGTGGTGGTGGTTTATGTAACGTGTAAAATCGATAGGGCGAGCCGGCGGGCGAATGATCCAAGAAAAGAAGCGTTTACCCTCTGGCACGCAATTAGGAGCGAAGAATATTGGACTGCGGGAACGGACGGAATACGGAACAGGCCGCGTGAAAATGTCACCTGACGTTTAATACGATTTAGAGGGCTGCACTTATCGCGGTGGCTGCCTCAGACGTTTCGCGGTTCATTTAATTCGACGATCGAGGCGGAGGGGAAATGTCGTTTCATGGGGTCTCTCTAGGACGGGAGAAAAGAAACGTTGACCGAAACGGAACGAAATAAAGGACGAAGCGAGAAGAAAGGGA